TGTATTACTTAATTTATTTTTATTTTAAATTTTTTTTAAAATTAATAAATATAAATATTTTATTTTAACTATTTATTTAATTAATAAAAATTAAAAATTTTATTCATTTTCATTTTATTTTTCTTTAAATTATTTAATTAAATAAAAATGTTATCATTTTCTTTCTTTTACTTTTATCTATTCAAACAAAACTAATCTCAATTTTTTCCTTCTTTTCATTTCTCCTCCCCTCCCTTCCTCTCCCTTCCTCTCCCCTCCTTTTCATTTCTTTTATTAATTTTTATCCGAACAGGGGTTAAATGAGTCATTCTCCTTTCTAATTTAAAACTTATACTGTGAATTTTCTTCCCCCTCACATCCTCCATCAAGTCCCAACAATCAAGGGGCCCCAAATTAAGAAATCTTCCAAGCAATAATAGACAGCACATCCCGTCGGCCACCAACTATAGTCCATCCTATTGGCCGAAGGTGCACAACTGCAATCCATTTCGTTGGCTACTGCTACACAAACCAACCACTCTTTCAGCCTCCAACCACAAATTAACCACCTAGCTGCACCATACGCCCTCAATCACAGACCAACTTGATTGGTCATCTCTGCACAAGAACCACTCGAAAGCTCCAACGCCAGTTGCGCCACCCTCCACCGATAGCCGCTGCTCCAATCAAGCCAAGATAATGAGTAATGGGTCTGAAAAACAAAGAAAGAGAAAATATATCAATATATATGCTAAGTTAAAGGTGGATTAAGAAAAGAAGAGAGACTCTGGAAAAAGGAGAGAGATCTTAAAGGAAAAAGCTGGGAATGCAACCTTTAACCCTAATCGTAGGAGGAGAGGGCCTAGGAGCTTTGATTTTTAGACATTTTAAATGTTAATTTTATATGAAAATTTAACATAATATATATAATAATTACAATTTTTTAATTAAATAAAACTCCCCAATAAGAATTATATTATCATTCATATGGTCTGTTAAATATTTATTTACAATTATTGTTTAAAAAATTAAAAATTAAATGAAGAAAACAATATTATTCTTTTAAAAAGTGAACTACATAAAATTTATAAGTTTTGCCTCTCTCTTCTATCATCCAATCAGTTGATTGTGTCATTTATCAAATTATAGACTGATATTTTTATCTTCAGCTCTCCATGTCGATACCAAAGTGGGTACATTCTCCCATGATATAGGCTCAAGCTTGGGAGATTACCTCATTTCCATTTTTCCTAAAAATATATATATAGCAATATGTATTGACATTGTAAATGTCATATTTACATTAAAAAAGAGGGAAAAGAAGAAAAGAAGAAAAGAAGATGCTCTTTACTTTAAGACCAAATCTACCTCCGTCCTCCCCACGTTTTTCTCCATCATTTGGTGCTAAAACGTGTTAAACACAGGTGCGGGTCATGCGCAGGCGGCTGACCCCAGCGTAACGGCGTAACCGCTACGTTTTCCCCCATATTCTGTAACGCTTGACCGTACAATTCTGTCGGTCATCCACCACCGCTTCTTTCGTGACTCTCCGACGCACTTTTAGGGAATCTTATCTCACCTCTTTTGTCGGCTTTCTAGCCCATCCTGTTTCGAGGCAGTGCTAACTTCACGGACCAATTTACTCCTCCTGGGTGCCCCCTCAGTCCCTCCTCTGCCACGTGTTATTCATTTGAGGCTTCTCTTACTTGCCACTTTGCTTAGTAATGTGAAAGGCCTGTGCAATTAGCAGTCCTCATAGGCGTTGTTATTTTAGGATTAGTTATTGTCAAACAGGTTTATAGATTTTTTTTTTAAGGTACATAAATATGTTTTTTAAAATTATTATTAATTTTTATTTTTTAATATAAATAAGTAGTTTTTATTTTAATTTTATTATTATTTGTTCACTTTAATTAAATATTTAATTACAAAAATTCTTTTTTTATCTATTATTTTTTAAAGGTATATGAATAAATATAAATATTGTTTCTAAATCCTTAATTTATAGTATGTTTGATTTGAAAAAAATAAAAGGAAAAAAAAATTTTTGACCCATCAAATTATAATATTTTAAAATATTTTAATCTAATTGGTTAACAAATCTTACCTTCCTCTGTTCTTTCCATTCACCTTAATTCAAACATGCTATTAGAAAAAATATCCAAAAAAGACGGTTATTTTGAGGGAGGTAATGGCATAATAATTGTGTTTATTTTGATTGATTTTATTAGTATATAACTATTTTTTTAAAAGTGTTTAGAAATGATAATTTATAAGTTGATTTTAATATAATAGTAATAAATAACAATTTGTTTTATTAATTAACCACTACAATAATTAATTACTTTTAACAATCAAATAATTACTTTTGTGTGACAACCATGTATTTTAAGAGGAGGCTAATATTTTTATTTTAACAATACTTTTTATTATAAATAAAGGGGTAAATGTGGTAACTTTAATGATCAATCATTGTAGTTTTAGTGGATTTTTAAATTGTTTCGTAATTGTCAACTTAAGCCATCCAGTGATAATCTTT